TTGTTTTTGCTTAAATTTAGATTATCAAAAACAGGACTCTTATAGATTGTTAAACATTAAAATATATCATGTTTACCTCAAAAATTAAAACTAAATAATATCTAAAAATGTATTTAGAAGGGTAGGGTGCAAGTAATTACTGCGATACGGTTTTTATTTGGTTGAAAATTACCTACTTGCGATATCGTTGTAAATAATTTTGTATATGCATAACTACTTTTTGTAATGGTACATACACTCTTTTATTATGTTTATGTTTTATGAAATAATTTGGAACACAGAAAAATAATAAAAATTAGTAAAAATATCAAATAATTAGGCCAAATATTTAGAGTAGGACTCTTGAAAATACTAAAAAATTAATCACTTTATTAAATAATGTTTTATTTTTAGATCTGCCAAGCAAGAATATGAAGATAATTACTTTTTCCATGTACAACTTAAGAGAGAAGGAGATACTTGCACAGTAAAAGTACAAATTACACCTAAACATAAAGTACGGCAAAAACCTTATGATGTGGTTGTTGTAATTAACAAAAATAAAATTTTTAGTGCACAATGCTTAGGATATGCTGCATCTCAAGGTTTGTAATATTTATTATGCTTTTTTGTTTTTATATCACATATAATAAACAGTGTATAAGGCCCTTTATTCCTATAAATATTTTTTTTCTAATTTTGACATATAAAGATACATTTTTTGTAATCGCAGAAAGTGTTAAAATAATCTAGAAATAGATTTTGTTAGTGAACCTAGTAATAATTATGATACCAAAGAATGCTGCAGAGCACCTATGAAATTTTGAGTTAAAACATATGCTATATTTTTAAGCTATTTTTATACCCTTTTCAAAAATTTTATTCTCCTCGTTTTCTGCAAAACTCAAAATGCTCTGATAGCTTCGAACGAAGTCAGCAGAGCACCTCTGTGTTATTAAGTTTTTTTCTGTAAAAACAGCAAGACCATATTTTTATACACTTGAGATATTATCATTTGTTTAAAAAAAAATGATATTTTTAAAAAATACATGGTGCTTGCTAACCTTCGAAAGAAACCAGTAGAGCAATTCGGTTTTTTTAAACTTTTTTCTAAAAACCACACCCCATTTTTAGGATATTGTTAGTCTCTTGAAATATTGTAAAACTTTACTAAAAAAATTGCTATTTTTAAATAATACAGGGTGCTTTGTTGGAACAAAGTCAGCAGGACACTTCAGTTTTTTAATTTGTTTTTTTATAGATAAAAACAACTACTTATGACACATGTTTAGGCTGTTTTAAAATCCTAAAAATGTGGTAAGTATATTTGTTTTCAGAAAAAACTTTGAAGTCAACAAGGAATTGCGATTTTTTTTTTAAAATGCCAAATTTCGAATATTTTATATTTTAGGAGCCAAAAAACGTGCTGTGGTTTAAAAAAAACTGGAATGCTCTGCTGGATTCGTTTGAAGCTAACAAAGCATCCCGTAATTTTGGATTTTATAATACTCAATAGCCTAAGAATAGCCTAAAATGAGACATAGCTGTTTAAACAAAAAATTGTACTTTTAAAAATAGCAGTTTCTTTCGAAAAGCTCTATAATATTTCAAAAATGTAAAAATGTGGTGAGATTGTTTTTTTTTAAGTTTTGAAAATCCGTGGTACTTTACTGGATTCGTTCAGAGCTAGTAAAGGTCTGCTCGTTTTGTTACATAAAATAAGGCATTTTGTAGCTGGTTATTGTATAGTTATTTTGTAACTGCATATCTAACCCTTTTATTTTTTTTCAGGTGGTTGTAAACATGTGGCTTCATAGAAGAAGTGAAGATTTACTCAGTGTTATTGGAAAAGCTCTAATTTATCAAAATGCGTAAATATTGATGTACACTTGGCTAGATTGTTAAAGAAACCTCTTCATCCACTACAGGAAAATAAATCAGTACTTTTATATTCTTTCATATTCTTAGGATTTGTATAGATATTTTTTATTTGTAAATAAATTGTTTTTTACTTAATTTTTCTCATTTTTTATTAAAAGGTTAATAAATAAAATTTTCACAGATTTTATATTTTTGTTTGTAAACAATAATTGAATAGTTTTTATTAAAAATCACCAATGTTAATAATAATAACTTAAGTCAATATTATTCTTTCTCCTTTTTTAAAGCTACTATCAGTAAAGGTATTACTTTAGCTTGACCTACGATCAATTTTTAATTTTGTGATATATTTGGTTTGACAGAGAAAAAAATTATAACCCTTTGACATTGGTTGTTTTTACTTAGATTTTCATAAAAAATAAACGGAACTGCAAACATGTTTTACTATCGTAATAACGAATAGCAACATTAATTTTTTTTTTTTACATTTGTCACTGTTGTCATTTTCGTAAAGGATTGATAAGAAGGCACACTTTCTGGTTTTTTGAAAAAGGTGGCAAGAATTGTGATATTTTTAAATTTATCACCAGTGATACCACATGTAGTTACCCGATTTATCGGAATATATAGACTTTGCTACCACATTCAACTGAACTTGGTTGTTTTTAATATTTATCACTGTGACATAGGCTGTTTTTGTTAAAATGATTCATTTTAAACTGCTGTAAATAGGTGCCTTTGGTTTGGTAGTTTTAGTCCCAAAAAAATCTATGCATATACAGGTACATATTCCGTTTTGATTTGCTCGAAAAGTTAAAATTTTATAATTATAATCTCTGAAATGCGATAATTAGGTAAATTAAAAATCAAACATAAAAAAAAAGTTTATTAAATTAATATATACACTTATAAAATAGGTTCTTGTAAGTTAACAATACCACAAGCAATTATGCAGATGTTACTAAGTAAATGTACTTGCTTAAAATTCACACAGGAATGTGGTTTTAACATGTAAAATTTCCTAACCCTTCTTATAACTCTTTCCACATGTACTCTTAGAGATGCTATTCTTTTACTTAATTGTACATCTTCTGGAGAACTGTTTTCATTCTGTGATACACTAGGTGGCCTTACTAAAGTGTATCCGATGTTTTCAAGTAATGGCTGAATATTTTTAAACCCCCTGTCTGCCATTATATGGGATCCAGGAACCAGATTGTTTAAATACCCACATTTTTCTATTATTTCTTAATCACTAATTCTTCCAGGAAATGATGAAGATATAAAATTAATAAACCCAGATGAAGTACAAGATATGAGAAATTTTGCAGTGTTACACTGTTTGTAGTTGGACCATGTACTAGCCTGGATAACAGGATTAGATGGCTTTTCGATTTCTATTTCAAAACAATCGATAATACTGCATATTTTCCCATACCTTGCTCTAAATGAAATTGGCAAATTCATTTGTACTTGTTGAAGTGTTGGCCAAAATATAAAATTGTTAAAATAATTAGCGATTTTATCTATAGAGCCTGTAAAAGCTCTTTGAATATAAGATACACTTGTTCCAAAACAAGTGGAAAGCACTACATAAGATTCATCTAATTTTATTTTCCTTAGAGTTATTAAAAGGTGTATATAAGCTACACTCTCCTTTTCACAAATATCATTAAGGATTTTAAAAACGCTGTTGGGCAATCCTAAATATACTTTCAGTTGTTTTTCAATTATTTTAAAAGTTAATTGTTTTTGAAGATCTTGCTCATTACTATTAAGTTCCTCTGAATCGGAGATTGAAGATGTTTCTTTTGAATCAGGAATAAATTCACTATCTTCAATACTTTCAGGAGATTCTGGATTTTCTTCCAGAAGAGTTTTTAGGTTATACACCTCCGAATTTACAGTAGCCTCATTTTGAATTTCCTGAAGGGGACAATTGGCAGAAATTGCTGCTATATCTTGAATATCCAGTGTATTAAAAAGTTGACGAGAAACACCGCTAGTAGAAGGTTAATTTTCTTTGCCAGTCGACTTTTTAGAAGAAATTTTTTTTTTGTTTTCAATTTTTTTTTTTTTTTTGGCAGAATCAGTGAGCTGGCTCTTGTGTGGTGAATGACAGGGACTCTGCAGATATTTGCGTGGTACTACCCACTTCTTAATACGTAAAGGCGTATCCATCAATTTAAAATGTGACCAATTTTCAAAATCATCTGGTATCTAAAAAAACATCGTTAGTGCAATGGTAGATAAAAAATAGATAGTAGAAACAAACCTGAAAATGGTCTTCACAACAAAATAATTTAGCTGTTCCGTATGTCCTACTGTGGTCCACCATAATCTTCTTCTTTCCAAATTTCTAGGAAAACTAATAAATATTTTTGAAGATGAATGTGAATCATTATCACATTCTGGAACAAAACACTTTTTCGTAGTAATATTTATAAAAAGTACAAAATTAAACACTCAAATTCGAAATAAATTTTTGATTGACAAACAACCAAACAATACAAATACAAAACAAATTATTGATTGACACTATGACAGATGACACATACACATACAATGCTGCCGTTTTTCTATTTTCGAAATTATTAAGTGACTTTTAAAACAATGAAACTTTAAATATGGTAAAAATTTAAACAGAAATAATACTTTCAAAAAACATTTGATATTATATATTTAAAAGATATTTGTTTAACGATGTTTTAGAAGTCTAAAAGTAAGAAGGAGTACAAATGTTGCGGCACTAGCTCCTATTGGTCTATTCCCGGTGACGTCATAAATTTTAAAAAATTCATAACTCTGGCAAATGAATAGATAAAAAAAATGTAGCTTTATTTTATTATTCATAAAAAAAATTCAAAATTTTTGAACATGCCCCATTACCGAGAGCTCTCTGGAGTAGAGCGTTGTCTGTCGAATATAGTGACACCCTCTATATAAAATAGAGTAGCACTCGTAATCCTCAAAATAAAGACATGCCACGTTTTGCAGTACTTGGAACAACAAAATAAATAAAGGAAATAGAATATAGAAATGGAGAAAATTCACAAAATGTTTTGGTAGTGCCAATATAATATATCTACATAAAAATTATTGGTTTTTGGTTAAAATATTGGATAGGGAATTTTATTTACCTTTCATATACTTTATCTTTAAACATACAGCTTTCTCATTTTTGGTACCATCCCTACAATGTACCATCTTAGGAAGTTCGTCATAAGGTTCTAGTATTTCCATGAAAGAATCTCTGCAACTACTATTGTCTTTGTGTTTAGAGTCACATGAAAAACAGACTAAAGCTAAACCTGAAAACATTTATTATTTATTTATTATTAATGGCAATCGTAAATATCGTTACACTAAAAACAGACTCCATGATTTTATTGGAGGACTCCACAGTCTCCACTCTAACAGAAAAGTATCGATGGCTTAGAAAGTTCTCGAAGACAAAACAGATTGCCAGCAGGTGTTCTCTATTGTAGAAAGCTTCCTCAATCTCGTTTTTATGGAAAACGAGGGCGTCCGAGGTTGAGTGTTTGCTACGGCAGCCGACGGGGGCTTAGTCTCTAACCTAACCAACATTTTTCAAAGCGTTTAGCGCGTCTTTCTAGAAACGCGACAAACAACTCACAAAAGCGTATAGCACGAACGTTTTGGTATTCTCTACATGTTGTGCCGTGCCCATTTGAAAAACGTAGAGCGCTTTCAACACATACTTTGATTATCAAAGTATGTGCTTTCAACACATACTTTGATTATCAAAGTATGTGGATTTCAAAAAAGTTACAGATGAGCAGCGTTTTGCTATTTGCACTTCAAGTTTGACATATTTGTGGACATAGACAAGTCAAACACTTAAAATATGGACTTAAATATTAATATATATGTATACAGGGTGTCTGTAGAAAATTTTTACAAAAACATACTATATATTCCTTAGACTAAAATAAGTCGATTTAAGTAAAATTACTTTAGTACAAAGTTGTTTCGTTTGGGCTCCAGAGGGCCTTGAAGTTAGAATTTTTAAATCGTTTTTCCCATATAAATTTAAAACGGCATATGCGATTTTGCTGAAATTTGGTATATGGGTAGAGTTTTATGTGGCAAAAAAAAATGGTATTAAAATTTTGTCCGATAATAATACATAGGCGTAGAACTTGATTTTTTAAATAATTGTACCTTTAAAAATTCTACGCCAATGGAAAAAAAGGAGTTTGAGTATGAAATTTAGATTGCGCAACTCATTTACTTTAAAAAAGGTACTCCTGATAAGACTCGATTACTCTCATGGTTTTCGCTAAATTTCTGTTTTAATAATTTAGAGTGTATAGGTTTCACAAAAATATTTATTTACAACATAATCAAAATAGAGATTTTACAAAAATTGTTTAAAATGTTCACCATTTTCACGCATACAAAGATTTATACGTCGAAGAAAATTAAAATGTATCCTTTCCATAACTTCTTCATCACCTCTAAGATTGTTTATTACATCTTGAATACGTTGCCAGAGTTGTTCCTCATTTTCTACAGGTTCCCTGTAAACTGTGAATTTCAGATGTCCCCGTAAGAAGTAATCCATCGGTGTTATGTCTGGGGAACGTGGTGGCCAGTTTACAGGTGCGTCATTACCTCTGCCTATCCATTTGTGTGGATATTCTTCATTCAAGTGGTTTCAAACGTTTAAAGAAAAATGTGTTGGAGCTCCATCTTGCATAAACCACATATCTCTCTGAAGTTAGAGAGGTAAATCTTCTAACAATTCTGGCAACGTATTTTGTAGAAAATCCAAATAATTTTCTCCAGTTAATCTTCGTGGAAGTATGATAGGACCAACAATGAAATTACCAATTATTCCAGCCCACACATTAATTTTGAATTCGTGCTTAAAATGGTTTACCTTTATTGCATGCGGATTTTCAACAGAATAAAGATGTTCATTACGGGTATTAGTTATACCTCTTCTTGTAAAACCCGCTTCATCGGTAAAGAGAACCTTCTTTACAAAGTTTGGATCTCTTTCTCTTTGTATATTAACAAATCGACAAAAACCCAAACGAATTTGAGGATCATGGACTAATAATTCTTGTACTGGCTTCTTATGGTATGGATATAGCAATTATTCTCTAAGCACTTTATGAACGACATCTTTACTTACTCCTAGTTCCCTTCCAATTTGTCTGGTGCTTAATTCTGGATCTTCTTCAACACGTTCTAAAATGTCTTCTTCAACTTCAGGAATCCTTACAAAACGTTCTCTTCCATTATCAGCAGTGTTGGGAGCAAAGGAACCGGTCTCCCGAAGACGTCTCTCAACAGCAGCAGAGTACACCCTGACACTCTCTCGAGCATTTCCTTCACAAAATCCTAATATCAGTAACATATCGGTACCTATATTCTGCATTGGTATATTGTACAGCCATATTAATAAACCACGCATTTGTTTTTTTAATTATTGAGTCAGATAGAACACTTTCAATCGTTAACAAGAGATTAGGTGTTAAAACTTGACAATATTTTTATTTAGATGAAACTACTCAAAAAATAGTACATGGCAAGAATCGAGTATTTTTGTTAAAAGTCTCGATTAGAGGTGTTGAAGAAGATATGAAAAAAGTACATTTTTATGTTTTTCATCGTATAAAATTTTGTCCGATAATAATACATAGGCGTAGAACTTGATTTTTTAAATAATTGCATCTTTAAAAATTCTACGCTAATGGCAAATAAGGGGTTTGAGTATGAAATTTGGATTGGGTACTCATTTACTACAAAAAAGTACCCTTGATAACACTCGTTTTACTCTCATAGTTTTAACAAAGTTTGTATTTTAATAATTATTGTTCATGTTCTAAAATTACTAAAATGCAAATTTCGTCAAAACCATGAGAGTAATCGAGTCTTATCAATCTAAATTTCATACTCAAACTCCTTTTCTTCCATTGGCGTAGAATTTTTAAAGGTGCAATTATTTAAAAAATCAAGTTCTACGCTTATGTATTATTATCGGACAAAATTTTAATACCATTTTTTTTACCAGATAAAACTCTACCAATATACCAAATTTTAGTAAAATCGCATATGCCGTTTTAAATTTATATGGGAAAAGCGATTTAAAAATTGTAACTTCAAGGCCCTCTGGAGCCCAAACGAAGCAACTTTGTACTAAGGTAATTTTACTTAAATCGACTTATTTGGGTCTAAGGAATATGTGGTATGTTTTTGTAAAGACCTTTTATCTTTAAGACACTGTATATCAAAATATGCAAAACATCAAAGATGCTGAAAATCGCGAGATCCGATGCTACTATAACCCGGAGAATGCTTTCGAACTTTCAGATAATCAATTTATCAAACTATTTCGTTTGCGAAAGGATGATGTGACTAACTTAGCTGCTCTCATTGAAACCTTCCCAGGCAACACACTGACGTTACAGAGACGTCATTTATTGGTCATGAGTTACGTCATTTTTCACCAAAGGTCTGACGTCAAAATGACGTCCAGCTCACGTCATTATGTCACGGCACAGTGACGTCATTTTGTGACGTTACTGTAACGTCAATTTGTGACGTTACTGTGACGTCAATTTGTACCGTTACTGTGACGTCAATTTGTGACGTTATTCTGACGTTAATTTATGCCGTTACAGTGACGTCAATTGGTGACGTTACTGTAACGTCAATTTGTAGAGTTGATGTGACGTCAATTTGTGACGTTACTGTGACGTTACTAATACGGTGGCTCTGTAGGGATTATAGGAAATAATATTACTAATAAATAATAACAGCTTTTATTATAAATTTTTATAAAAAATCATTAAAACTAAACATGACTTCTGAAAAAAATGGGATGCAAATTTCGGCTGTCATTTGGTAATGGAATTTAAGAACATTGTATATTTTATCAAACGGCACCTGTGCCAAGCACTATCCTGAGCAAAATGGTTAAAAACAAAATAATTTCTATTTAAAAATCACACAAGACATGACAGCGATAATTTTGTTTACCCTGAAAAATTTTTCCTTGAAAATAACATTTAAAAATTCAAAATGTATGTGATTGCAGTAATTACTAAAGGTATGTAAAACATAAAATTTTATTACCGTTACATTTCTTTAATATATTTTTCTTTAAAATTTTTGGAGGCCTTTCCAATGCACTTTCTTTATTACTCTCATCCTCGCTGCTACTACAAATTTTTTTTTGCTCGCACTCTTTTTCTGGGTGCTTCCTCATCAAATTCTGAATTTAGGTCACTTGAATTTTCTGCCTGTTTTAATTTTCTTCTCCCCTTTTCCAAATCATCTAAAAAAATTACATTCATTTAAAAAAAAATGCAAGAACTTTTTGTTCATTCAAAGAATTAAATATACTACATTCACAACATAGTTTTGTTAAGGTTTTAAAGAATACTTTTTATTCATTTAACATAAATATTATAAACATTGTTAAAACCCGTTAATATAAGAGTTAATTTTTCATTGGTAGTAAGTTGTTGGAATGATATAATAAAGCCCACATTATTAAATTAATCATAATAATTTTGTCCTGCACATAGAATATTAACAAATGTAATTTTCTTTAATTGATATATAAAATTTCTGTCACCCATTGACAACAATTTTATAGTTAGAATAAAAAAAATTATAACATTTATAGTATATTTTTATCTTCAACTAAATTATACTTTGTTAATTTTACACAAACAGCTGTAAATTTTACATATCTAATATTACAACAAATTATAAACTTTTACAGAACAATATTCTTGTCATAATAAAATGATTTTAAAATAAGACTAACAATATAGTATTAATACTTAAATTGTAGGTACTGATATTAAATTAGAAATGTTATGGGAAATTAATGTACTGTCTACTGTCCACTGTAAACTTGACAAAATAAGTATTACATAAAAACAATATTTTGTTAGTGTTCTACTTCAACGTTTTTGATTCTTGATGTGTAGGGATTTGTCTTATTATTGGAACTAGTTGTAGTAGCCACTTTTGGTTGATATTGTAATGGTTCTAAAGAAGATTAAAAATGTTTTCTTAGGTAAGTACCTTAATTAATTAAGAATACATATTTTATAAGTAGTAGGTAATTATCGCTACATTTTTCATTGAATTTACTAAAAAATTTTGATTGTTGATATCCAGTTGGTTATACTGTATTCTCCAATTTTATTATTTTTATATCAGTATTAAACTACGAAAGTATCAAACTAAAAGTACATTTATAGTCAGCCTGATTTTGTTTTAAGCTCAACATAAATACAAATTTAAGGATTTTAAAGCAAAA